TGGTGCTAAATGCTGAGCGCCGACAGGATGGAGGAGTTTCAGAGCGAGGAAGAGGAGCCCTGGTACGACCAGCAGGACCTGGAGCAGGGTAAGGACGGGGACGCTCCGCCAGCTGCCAGGGAGGGCAGGGCAGGGGGATGCGGGGGCAGGAAAGGGGGCAGATCCCGGGGACAGGAGGGGGGTACCTTCTGGCGAGACTCGTATTTCCTTGGCAAAGCCAGCACCTCGTCCTGCATCTCTGCAGAGATCCCGGCTCCGCTGCTCCAACCACCGTCCTGGCCGTGGGAAGTTTAAACCCGATGGATCTGGGCAGGGAACCCAGGTCCATCCTGAGCACCAGCGGGGTAAAATAAATGGGTGTGTTACATCCACAAGGAAGAGGGTTCCCCAGAAAACTTGCTGGGGCCAGAGTCAAGCCTGGATAGTGATGACATTGCTTTCATCTCAGAGCAGCTGCAGGTAGAGTTAAGCAGGCACTTAGAAATCCACACACCAGGAATAATGTAAGCTGAGGATGCTGAAAAGCATTTCCCAAAAGCTCTTACTATCCAAGCCTATATCCTAAGGGATTTTCAGCTCCTAAGTCACCCAATTACTTCTGGAGAATTTTTCCAACCAGCCGTAAAAGCAGGAGAAATTGGGAAGGAGGAAAAAAACCCCATAATGAAGGCCAAGTTTCAAACAGCAGAAACAGCCTCCTTAGGGGATAACCATGCACTTGTGTAGTTTGTTTTGGAGTAACTGTACCTATGTTTCCACTAGCCTTAAATCATGTTTATCCCGTGGTGGGACAGTCGGTGGCTGTGGGTATTTGGGTCTTCTTTCTGGTTTGTTTTGGTTTTGCTGGGTTGTTGGGGTGGGTTTCTTTTTTTGCTTATCTTAATATTTTGAGTCAACACGCAGTAAGTAAATAACTGGAAGAAGTCTCGTGTCAGGTCAGTGGGCCAGGAATGAACTGAACTGATTTGTTACTGGATAGGGAAAAATCATTCCTACCTAAATCCAGTGCCCCTCCAGCACTACAGGTCCAGGAGTTTTATATCTTCTTTAGCAGCTGCTCATCAGCAGGGACATGTGGTCCAGCTGCAGTGCCTCTGCTCACCATCCCTCCAGGACATTCTGTCATGATTTAAAGTTTATACAACATCAGCTGCTGAGCAGAGGCTCAGCAAGGAATGATAACCAACCCCAACAATCCCCAGGGGTTTTTCCAGCTGGTTTTTTAACCCCACCTTCTCAGTTAACAGGAAGTATCAATAGCTGGATACTGGGCTCTGTTCTTTGAAACACAACCGCTCAAACTGAAGCCAGGGCAGAGCACGGAGTTGGGGTTATCAGCTGAATAAACAGTGCAGCCTTTGAATGCTCAGAAATTCACATTTCTGGGTGACGTCTTCCCGTGGCTCACAAGGGAGCTGGGCACTGGTCCAGGGGCCGGATGCAGGCTGAGGAACAGCAGAACTATGGATGAATATGAGGAGTGTTGAACAACACGGGACCAATGGATTCTGTAGCCTCATGCTGGCCCTGCTGTCAGGTTCATGAGTCAGCACTGGCACGGTACCACTGCCTCATAACAATAAAAACCACCTTCCCACTGCAGGCCAGGTCCCCAGCTCTGTCCCAGCAGAAGAACTGCCTCCAGATGATGGATTAATGCTAAGGATGGACTCCACCTTTGAGCACATAGAGGAGCGAAGGAAAACACAGACCCAAAACAAACAGCTGAGGGGTTTGCAGCCTCTTGTGCAAATGGGCACTGCACAGCCTTGCACAAACTCAGAGGGAGAGGTGGGGAAGGCTTTAACTAAAATCAGCCAACTGGAAAGGTCCTACGGGGTAATTACAGCAGTAATTAATTTGCATGGTGCACACAGCATCATGAAGGACAGTGCTAGACTTTGTCCACACGCTGTGCCTCTGCATTGTAGCCACGAGGTCTCTGGTGATGGCACTGCCATGAAGCTGTTGGGTTGGAAATTGGTTTGGAAATGGGTTTGGAGGGGAAGGGGGGTGGAAGTAGTGGGAAGGACATCCAGCACAGCATGATGATGAGGTGGTTGCAGGGCAGCATTACAAAGAGGACCAGCATGCCAACAGCCCAGGGTCGCACAGACACCCACGCCTGGCAGCAGCGTGCCAGGAAGGGGGAAGACAAAAGCACAGGCTTAAAGACTGTTCCTTAAGAGTGAGGGGTGGGAGAAATGAGAAGCAACCTCAGCTAGAAGAGCAGAAAAAGCTCTTCTGTGACCCAGTTGGTTGCTGGGCCTTTATCGTCATTTGACAGCATCATCAAATATTTATTACATTTACATCCAAAATTGTTTGCTAAGCAACGGATGGCTTAACCGGGAGCTCTGTGATGATTATGTTAATTAACCATTTTAGCACCATGGAGGCAATCGTGCCTCCAGCTCCACTCCGAGCACCTGTTACTTTCCTCCCCACCCTCCACAGAGCTTTCACTTGCTGAAGTAACCCCTTCTTTTCACAAATATAAGCCCCAACTGCTCTCTTTTACCTCCTGAGGTGCCCACAGCGACCGACTGCATCCACCACATGCCTTGGAGGCAGCAAGACCTGGTCCCCAGCCTCAAGGCCCTTCCAGCCTCATTCAAATGAAGCTGGTGCCTTTGAAATTGCTTTACCTGCTCCCTAGCACACTGACAACTGGATGGCTTAAGGTTTT